TATAGGTGCTAAAATTGATCAACCGAAGGACATCATGATAAGTTGTAGGATCTATTAGACAACTTTTAGTATCATCGACTAATCAGAATACCTCTGTTTCTACTAATATATCCATTATCTGAATATTTTTGTGAAACACCTCATCCTACCGATCGTACATTTTACACGGATACATGAGAGTAAAAAGTGTGTTTTCTCCGGTATACATACGCAGTATTCATAGAACTACTGTAGACCACTGATTGTGAGCAGTTTCATCTTTAGACGGCCAGATTTAGGCTGATAAGCTTTTTTATTAAGGTTTATGGCTAAGAAACGTGACGACTTACTGTAAAACCAATCAAACGTTTAACGTAAGTCAGCTTAATTCGATAAAAAACGAATTAGAACAGAATTGGAAGGGATTTTACACCTTTAAATCTGATCCAACGTTTTGGAAACATGAATGGGAAAAACATGGTAGTTGTATTTCGCCTGACAATATTTTAAAATATTTTCAATTATGCCTTCATATTAATAATCAGTTGCCGATACTGAATGCATTAAAACAAAATAACATTTATCCAAGTTCAACAAAATATTATTCATTAAACAAAACATTTGATGCAATTCATTCGTTTTTTGGTAATGGAGTAAATCCAATAATTCTATGTAATTATCCTTATTTAAAAGAATTTCGATATTGTCTTGATGACAAATTTCAGATTATTTCATGTCCAGATTATTTCGATATGAGTCTAAGACAATGTTCTAATGAATTTCTATTGTTAAATTTCACATCACATAAAAAGACGACAATTAAATATTTTACTGTTCTATTAATTGCTACACTAATAATAAGTCTGTTAATTTTTATTTTCTTATTTCTGTTAAAACATTTTCAAATTATTGAAACACCATTCGAATGGAATAGAAAACGAAATATTGAAATTGTCCATTATGATCTAATCGATAGACCTGTTATAGTCCATGCAGTACAATTACCACGATCATGGTTAGAACAGAGTGTTTTAGGAGCTGTTATACTGGATTTTAATATTGGTGTTGGAGCAAAAGGAGGTAATTACAAAAAATATCTCTTCGATTTATGTGCTGTAAACAATAGCTATAAAAAGCATACATTCACCGAGAGGATCGAGGGTGTAGCGGTTTTATTAACCGTAAGCTGTGTGTGTTCCGCGTCTAGTAATAAACAAAAGAGATAATCAAAGAAGAGATGAGGAGTTGATAATGCATATAAAAAATAGAAGATATGTTTATATAACGTTATCGTTTATATATACATGCTGTTGACTTGTGGAGCAATTTCCGTTCACATTGGAAAAAAAAGTCGAGGGCAATAGCTCTAAGCATTGGTGACTTTCTGGAAAACGTCCACGATTGAGGAATCCGAACTAGAGGAGAGCTGAAACTTTGGAGTTCTACGCAACGCTCATTGCGCATCTACAAAACGAACGTAATCTAAAATAACCCATACAGGTTATACGTTTCTACAGTACCCGGTCGTATGTCTGGTCTGGCGACTACCAGAATCTGCTTTTTTCTTCGTGGCTGCTGTCTAGCTGTATTTTTATTAAGGTTTAGCGCGTCGACTAATGAAGCAGTGGTTCGATTTTCCGAACGAACCCATGGAAAAAATCGATGAATTCGATCTTGATCTAGTTGTTATCGTTGATGAGAGTATTAGATCTGACGATAAACGTACGCCTATTCTTGAACAGTTAACTCAATTAACGTTTGGCGGTATGAACGTTGAAGCGAAAGATATTGAAATACTGACAAAATTTGGTTTAACCGAATATTTTCTTATGCGTGATGTAACACAAAATGAATTATTGATTTTGAAAACAGGATCAAATGTTGACGATGTTTATTTGTTTTACACTGATGATTGTTTCGACGATATGAAAATTGAATCTATACGACCATCAGTACATACGCTAGCCAGTAAGCTAAAAATGACCTGGTCATTATCAAATATAAATGATCCAGGCATACCTCATGTCAGTGAGCCCATAGTAGTTCGTACACTAATGAGATATTTCAAAGGTGGATGTAAACAATATGAATTTGATCAAAATACATGGAGTTATTTTAAAAAATTTGGATTGAACTGTTCATCTTTGTTTAATTTACTCAAACCAATGTAAGTAAAGATTGACTAGAGACTCCGAAGTCGATTGAATTAAGCAAAATAAAGGAGTGAATTGCGCTGCTGTTGTACGGTTTAACCCGGTGAGATATATATTTCCCACGTCAAAAATCGGGATAAGCCGTGTTTTCGAAAACTTTCTTTTGAAGAAACGACCCTCAAAATTCGATCATAATCAAATTTCAAATACATCATCTTATGCAGTTTTTGACGCTCTATCTTTTGATGTATAATACATTTGAATAATATTTAGTTCTGAGTTAGAAATCTAAGTTTTTCCGAAAATTTCGGTCCTTCTGAGTAAAAGAAGGTTTTGAGTACGAAGACAGAATCGAAAATCAAAAATGTTTTTGTCAGTAGATAGCTTTTGAAATTCTCTATCGAGACATTGCTATTTGAATTTTTTTGTTGAAAATCTCTTGGTTAGGAAAAACGAAATACTGAAGATGCGTTTTTTCCGTTTTTTTAGGAAAATACTGTTTTCTACCTAACTCTGCCAAAATAAGTTGAAACTTAACGATATTTTCACATATGGTAGAGTTTAGTGATAACTTTCTTTTGACGAAAGGATGAAGTCTCTATCTGTTAGGGAAGCTGAGATATTGCAAAATAAAAAAGGTCTTAAACTTTTGAACAGCACTGTATATATAAAAATTAAACCGGTCCTGAAAGGGTTAAACTTAAAAAAGTAAAAATAAATAAACTTGCTATAAAAATTTTTGCTATATACTACAAGCATCGTAGTTTATGAAAAAGAAAGTTTCTGAACTGCCACCACCTGGTTCTTGGAAAAAAGCAGTCCCTTTAGATTACACAGTCATCATGGATTGTTTAAGTATTAAAAATGGACGTAAATGTACTAGGGTCTTATGTCAATCGGACGCTCGCAGGTATTTTCAGCTCGGTTTCAGGCGTTTCTGTACATGTGAAAGCATATGCAAACAAAAACACCGAAACAGTCCAAACTGTGCCCTGGTATGCTTTATATGCTGCGCATATGCAAACAGACTTCGCACAATTTCCCACTTCTGCGAATCCAATGATAAACAGTTTGTCGAAACTACTACTTGTTTTTGTAGAAATTTTAAGGAAGAGCGGCATTTTCACTAAAGATATGAGCAGAACATTTTGGATGTAAAAATACAATTTTCTCCTATAAGAGTTTAACAGCTGAACGTTTTACCATAAATCTACTATTACATGGAAAAAAGGATCTGAAAATCTTCGTCAGCCGGTTGATAATTGCTGAGAATTCACAAGAACACAACCTGTAAAATGGCTAGTCTTACGTCTATTTACTCTAAAAAAAATGCAACTTAGGATCAAATTAAGTCGCATGAATGTGCCTTATTCTGTGAAAATAAGACACATTCACGACTTAATTAGATCCTAAGTCGCATTACAGTGTTTATAGTTCTGATTTTCCATTTAAACAAGTACTTAAAAAAAGACTTATCGATTGTATATAAGGAGTTTGCATCTACTTATTTGTTAGCTTGTATGTAATAAATTTAGGGTAGCTGGAGAGAAAAGTGCAGAAGTACCTGTTAGAACAGTTTTTATTGTAAACTTCCGTACAAACAAAGTTTTTATCAAGTCATATATTCTGAAAGAGCTCAGTATCAACTACAAAACTGCTAAGCAGAAGTTCAGTTTAAACGGAAAGAAGTACTAGAAAAAAAAATGGGTCTTACATAATAAGTTGTGTTGAAAAACGGTTTTTGTTTCAAAATTCTCAACTTAAAGAAGATAGAAAATAATTTTTGTTTTATCCAAGTAGGCAACTTATCAAGGAGTAAATCACAGAAGAAACAACTTGAAATTCTTTCACTTGAACTTGAGACACTTACATTTTGTTTACTCACATCATTAGATGGCCCATCTATCAAAGGATATTTGCCACTATTTTAATTTTAAAAAGACCGCACTTTCGAAGACTCACTGTGAAGCGGTAGACGATAGTTTGTGGGATTACATCGGCAACATCCCTTGTATGAAATAGATGTCTTGGGTTTTCGTTATAGTCATAATGACACGGCAAAATATTTTCATGTTGTTAACCACCTATTATCAATTGGTTTTTTATCAAATAAAGACTTACAATTGATTGGCGGTGCTAATCGTTTATGGGGTTATGTTTTACATGAAATGAACGATAAATTATCAAACTATGGAATACGTTTAACATTTGACAAATTATCTATTAATCAAGTCCATGAGTGGATTGAACGAAAGAAATTGATGATAGAGGAAACTATAGCACAATTGCGATGTGGAAAAGAAATAATTTCAAATGGTAAAAATCCGTCAGCATTCGATAAAGTTTTACAGTTATTCTATAGATTCAAAAATCATAAGACAACTTATATTCCATCTGAAAAACAGTCAATAATCGAATTCCCCGATGAATTTCAAATTTTTATGGAAAATGGTCCAACGTACAACAACAACAACAGCAACAATTTTCACACTAAACATCATCATACAGTAAACGCAAATTTTATATCGAATGAAGCTATAATAGAAAATTGTGGAGATGAATTAATAAATACAAATATCGATTCAAACGAAAAAAATTTTCTGTTTGAACCCGATGCTGAAAACATTAAAAACAACGTCAAATATACAAAATTTGAATTAATTCATTTTTTGATTGAAATTATTTTTAACAAACCGATGTATTTTATTATTTCATATCTATTTTTACTTATTAGTATAAGAACTATTCGGATACTACGGAGTCCGCCTTGATTTTGATCTTTTCGATATCTCTGCTACAGAACTGACCAAGTCAGGACTTTTTCAAGTCTCAAGTTAAGTCTGACTTGACTTGCCTAGCTTTGCTCTTCTAGTGGGCGCCATTTGACGACTCTTTTCCCATGTTCTCACGTTGTGAATAATTTCCGTTGTATCAAGTAGTAAAAAATACATAGTGGCCTTCCATTTCTAAAAATAAGCGTATAAAATAAATTGAAAATTGAAACTTCTGCTAGTCAAATCTTGAATACTGTTGAACGAACGTAGGCAAAAAAAGTCAGACTTTTATTTTCATGAGCCAATGTGAAAATTTTGCTGGAGATATAGATTCGGATTCTCCATCGAGTGAATGTCTGAAAGAATTTGCAAAAAAGAGGTGTGAATCATGATCAAAATGGAGAAATACGATAGATTCTCGTATGCGAGATCTATCGCATACGAGATACGAGTATCGCATACAGTTAATATTTAATGGTGTAATTATTGAGAAAAGTTTGTAAAAAAAATCGCGTATTAATTACGAATTATGAGACCGACTCGTAAAATGCAGCTTAAACACCGCCTCAGTAGATCTGTAACAGTAGAAATAAGAATTAATGTTCATGGGGGTATTTTGACCATTATTTCTCCATGTCCCACTCCTAAGTAGTAGATAAAAATGGTCTTTTAACTATCACATGGGATGCGAACAATCCCCTAATTATATATCTTCTTGTACCATTCTATTCAAGTGAACTTATCGTTGGATTAGTTAATGAAAATCAAAAATTAATTGATCATACAGGTTTAATTCTACTATTCATTTTTTTTCTAAGTGGAATATTTAAAATAATTGGAAAAATACTATTAGAATATTCAACTATGAATGCAATGAAATTACTTGTTAGTAAAATGTTTGAAAATTTATTATATCAAAATTATGAATATTTAGATACATTTGCAATGGGTGAATTAATTTCTCGTACATCAGCTGATTCATTAACAATTCGTTCAACAATTGGAATAACTACATTTAATTTTATATCACAATTATTTCTTTCAATTGGATGTTTATCAATGCTTTTCTATTATCTTGTTCTATTTAAAAATATTCATCATATTTATAAAATTGTTTTCTGTCTTATTTTATTATTACTATTTATTATTATATTAATTAACATTTTCTATGGATCCTATGCATTTAATTTAAATCGTGAATGTAGACGTTTTCTTGGTGCAATATTTGGTTTTACATTTGATATATTTTCAAATATAAAAACAATATTAATTTTAAATGGACAATTAAATTCAATAAAACAACATAAATTTATTTATTGTCAAAATTATTTTTCTAAATCAAATTATTTAAATATAACATCACATTTATTTAATAGTTTCATATATTTATTGACATCATTATCAAACATTATTCTATTAGTTATAGCTAGTCGAAAACTAATTAATTATTCCATAACATTCGATGAACCTGTTAGTATTAAAATGGAAAAGACAGCAAGATTTCTTGCAATCATGTTGTATTTAAATTGGTTAATCAAATCATTACAAAAAATTTCCACCAACTACGGTAAAATAAAAAGCTTCACTTCGGTTACACAAGATCTACATTGAAGAAAAAATATGAACTCGCCATTTATCTTAAAAACGCGTTCTCGATTTTCCCCAAAGATCGAAATCATATTAGTTTCCTAAAGGTTCTTTTAAATTTTACTACAAAAGTTTCGGATCACCCGTCTGACAGTTTCTTTTAATGATACGTAGACAATGTCCGTGTAGGTTATTATTGGCATAATGTATGACTTAAAAATCTGATCAAAAGTAGAAGTGCTGAAAATGTGTTTGTATCTGCGCATGAGGTAAAGAAGATAAGAGCATTTCCTTGTGAGTTCGGTAACATGCAATGACCAATCTAACGATTTGCTTAGATAGACTCCAAGATGTTTGTGACTATCGACGAATTGCAAACGAGGTGTACTGAAAAGAGTTGTGGCAGTTTTGCTTCTTTCCCGAATAGCACGGGTACACATTTTTTTGGATTAAAAGGTAACTACCGAAAATCTTACCATTTCTGAACTGTTTCCAACTCAGAATTCATTATTTTAGTAGCTGAGACAATGTCATTACTGCTATAATAAAGTGACGTATCATCTGCAAAAGGTCTAATTTTAGACTGTGTTTGTAAACAAATATCATCAATGAACAGATGGAACACTAGAGGCCCAATAATAGATCTCTGCGGCATTCCTCTGTTCATAGTTAATGTTGTTGACGCTTGTCCGTTAACAATAGTCACACATTGTCTATGATTTAAATAGCTTGAGAACCATTGTAACAATTCATCTGATATTCCATTTTTTTGTAGTTTATGAAGTAAAGCTGAGTGCCAGACTCTATCAAAAGCCTTTGAAAAATCAGGGCAGACTAAAGTTACCGTTGTCTAAATTCTCATTGATCTCATGTGTAAGATCTGCTGGTTGATCAACTGTTGAATCTCCCTGAATAAACCGGATGGAATTGGCGTTAATAATTTATGTTTTTTAATATGCTCGTATAATTTATTGAAAACTAATCTTTCAAGAACTTTTGGCATGGCGGGTAGCAAGCTAATGGGCCCCAGTAAGTGGTTGAAAGAGTGCAGCCACCGTCTTTAAATACAGGATGAATAGTTGCTAATTTCCATTTATCAGGAAAAACACCATTTAGGAGAGAGAAGTTACACATATGCGTAAGATTGTGAGCTATAATACGACCACACTCTAAAAAAATATGACTTAAGTCGCAATAATGTGTCTTAGTTTGATAGAATAAGGCACATTAATGCGACTTAATTTGATCCTAAGTCGCATTTTCTTTTAGAATGCAGCTTCTAGGAGAATTCTAGATGTTATTTTCTGACTAGCAGCTTTATTTGGATTAACTTTACAAGCACTTTTCTACTTCTTGAACCGATACTATGAAAAGGTCTAGAACATGAGCATTCATGATAAGTATGTTCTGAGATATTACCTTATTCTAATCACTTAGATTCCTACTACAGATCTTCGTGAAATAATACTTCGCGAGATTTCCTTCCATTCGACTCGTCTGACTATCTCAGAAATTCGCTCTCAAGAACATAAGTTTTAGTTAAGATTGTTAATTCTAGCTCGACTTATGATTTCATTGGGCTCATTGGAACGTATAAAACAAGTTTGTAGTAAATTACAGCAGAATAATTTAACATATACAAGTACTTTTGATACCAATGAGCAGCAGCATTCATCAAAACTACATAAGCACATCTGCCGCCTTCTTAAACGTAACGTTGTTTACGAAAAACTTCCAGACAACAATCATTTCAACAATGAAACACATTTATTTGTTCAATTTTCAAACAATACATTAAATGATTATTTATCAGAAATGAAATTTTCCGGGTGTGTCAGTGTTGAAAATGCTAGTTTTAAATATTCAAGAAGTCAAAACTATGTTTTAAATAAAATATCATTTTGTACAAAACAAGGAAAAATATTAGGAATTATAGGAAAATCATCAAGTGGTAAATCAACAATAATCAATTTATTATCGGGTATTTATTTTCGTTCGACAGGAGAATTGGCATGGATAATGGAAAATAACTTATGGTTAAAAGGATCTAAACTTACAAATTTATCGCTGTGGAATATGAATGGCTGTAGTCCTCAGAAGGAATGTTATATTCCTACTGAAGCTGTTTCACATTTCATTTCTCATCTACGTTCAACTATTGGCATTTGTTCTAAATCAACAGACAAAATTTTTTCATCATTAACAATTTTAGATAATTTTCTTATTGGAATAACCGATGAACAAAGACAGAGTATGACAATTAACGAGCTCTATAATCTATGTGATTTAATTGGTTTAAATAAAGATGATTTAATTGATAGTCCACAACGATTTACAAAAGAAAGTCGATTATCATCAAATCAAATACGAAAAATTTCATTTGCAAGATGTCTGTTAAAAGGAAAAGATAATTTAAAATTATTACTTATTGATGATATTGATGAAATGATAGATATTGATAATTACAATAATGATAAAATTGTGCAGTCGATTAATATGATAGCAAAAAACTGGAATTCAACTATCGTTATTACAGGAACAAATGATAAAATTGTCAAAATGTTAGCAGATGATATACTATTTATTTAACTTTTTTCCATAATAAAATATTTTGGCATACATGTAAAAGTCGAAGATTCACTTAGACTTCTGAGAAGTCTAAAAGTCTAAAGAGGAAACTTCCCCCAAGTTCAGAATCGTTGCATAACAGACACAAAGGAATGTTTAAGAATTACCAAATCGTAAAAAACATACTTTTTACCACATAAAATTATTGTTTTAAAAAAAAAGACTTTGGACAACAGTGTTCGATGGCTTCAGTATAAATTTCTGCTTAATTACACAAAATATTACGATCCTAACGTGGCACAATGAAGTAACTTTGAAATAGTTTCAGAGAAATCGTAAGAAGTCTATCAGAAAACATTGTATACAGCTGAAAGTCATCTAATTTTAAGGAGACCACTTTACTCTACAAGTCTAACTAATTGGAAAGACACGAAAACAGTTTCGAAACTAAAAAACTGGAGCTTTGTTAGCGTAGGGCGACAAACCTTAAAAAATGTGTACTTCTGGAATGAATGATTGTGGAGAACTTTGTGGAGAATACTTTACTCTATCATGTTCCATGTTTCACTCAAAAATCAATCGTTTTCAAAAAACTTATACACTTAGAATCTCATCAAGTACAGAGTTAATGAGTCATGAAAATAAAAATGAAGAATAAAATAAGTTTATCTTTTACTTCTTCGGTGTAACTCTCTAGATTCTTGTGTTGATAATGACCGTTAATGATCGAAAATTCCACAGAAAATTATAATTAAAATAAAAAGATGAAATAGCTTCAGTTAATACGTCTGATTGGTAAAGAGACTCCTGAATAAAATCTTGTGATATTTTCAGCTTCTGTGAGATTTATTCTTAAGAAAACAGCTTAAAAAGAGAGGTCGGAAACGAGTCAAAATCTGTTTGTCGCAGTACAGCGCTCAAGAAACGTTTTTAAACCTTAATCTGGCCGTTCATTATGATCGGATAGACTCAGTTCCTAAACGCTTAGGGTAAATTTTACAGTTGATCTTTTTCAATTTATAAAAAGGTTGAAACTGGGCCTCACCTAATGCTTTTTCCTAGCTACGATAGATGCCTTGAATGAAGTCTTACCCCATTTTAAATCGTTACGCCGCCTGTGTATATATGGTCGGACTTGAGCACACATTTAGACGATTGCCATTGCAGACACTCATGTACTTATACACTTTAATACTTTAACATTATCTGATATCAGCTGGTGGTATTTTCTGATGAATATGCTAAACTAAATTCGTCGTATTGCTAGAAGCGCCGATCTTTTAATAACTCAGTAATTCTAACTACATACGTATACGTATTTAGTTAGAGCTTACTATCATAAGTTCAACTTATAAGTTGAGCTTATGGAAATTGTAAACAGATCTTAACGAGTACTACTTATAACGTTACAGATTTTCCCAATCATTATTCTCATTAGGATCAAAGAAAAGAACTCTTTCTAATGAGCTGAACGTAAGCTCTCTATACAGTGAATCATCTGTTCTTCAATACTGTTCTCTCTTTTTCAAATATTATTAACAGAAGGATGATCAATATACCACTTAAAACGCCAATGTTAACTAAAATAAAGCGTTTCAGTTTCACTATGCCATCTTTAATAACGTTGGGAGCTAAACAAAACAGAAAATGAACAAATCAGTTTATCTCTCTCTAAGAATAGAGCATACTAATCTTACACGATCAGCTAAAAAGAATTCTAACGGTCAGCCTAAATATCCATCGACAAGCATTATCGTTGCTCGACACAGTAGAACAATAGTAATTTTAGCATGGGCTAAAGCATTTTAAAAACTACTTACGATATTCCAATGAATGCTGTTAATGGCAAAATAAAAATTTAACACTTATGCTTCGTGGATGAAATCAAATTGACTGAGAACAATGTAATATCCTAGAACAGGTGACATCAATGATTTTGCAGTGATAAACAAAGAACCGTACTTAGTTCTTGTGACACCTCATGCAAACAAATGACAATTACAGCTGTAACGTCAAGAAGAATATCTTTGAAAAATACATTACCAATAGTCAAATCATCAGCTAGATTGTGAATATCATCGCCAATTGAGACTATTTATCCAGTGATATTCGCTGCTGAAATTGAAATGTTACGACAAGACAACTGAAGTCAGTTGTATTATCGAATAATAATTTTAAACTTTTCCATTCTATTTCTACGCATTCTTTTCTTTAACATTTATTTTTAAACTTTAAAAATATCGCATTTTATCCGACGTTTTTTGTTTGTCGACCGATTAAAGTTTTTTAAATAGAGAACGGATGAAAGATAAATAAATTATATCTTATCAAGATTAATTATTATAGTTTGATTATTATCGCTGTGGTGGTAAAAATATTATTTACACATCTAAAAATCTCGAAAACGAGACATGAAAACATTAATTATACAATATTGTTAGGTTTCTTAAACGCTTTCATATGATGTACAAAACATTTATATTTCAAATAGGAAAAAAAAGCGCAGAAAGGTGGTTTTTTTCTGAGTACCAGAAATCTAATAAATAAAATGTATAATAGAATAAATGCCTTTCCTCGTATTTTACTTATAATCTTTATCTTTTCAATTCTTAGACCTGATTCTTTTTTCCAAACGATGTGCCGTCAAATTCTCTACGTACTTGATCAAACTTATTTCTATAGAAAATTAAGGAGAAAAACTAAACGAAGAATACTCACCATAGTGAAACAGACAAACTTTCTAAGCCGAACAAAGGTTTTTGTTCAATCACTTTCATTGAGCTGGATGATAAAAGGAAGAGAATATACGCTAAAGCATTTTGTAGCCCTTGAAAAGGTCTATAAACCAGTATTAGATGTACAAATGCAAAATTAATCTTTGAGGCTTTGCAAAATCAAACTATTTGAATGTGTAGATTCGAAGCTCTTGGGAAATGCTGCAGAATGAATCCAAAATAGTATCATTTCAGCACGGTCATTTTAGTGAGAAATGATCCCTGTGCCCGATTCAGCGGCGAAAGTTACCTTAAAGCTTTTTTCATAAAATCACCTGCCGAACAATAGCAGATCTTGGTCACGTCGAGATGAGTTTTGAAATGTTAAATTCTTCAGTGCTCACTTAGACTTGAACGAACTGTCAACTGCATAAGGAGAAAGAGCGCACTTCAAAGTACTTAAAAATATCTTTACTTTTGTTATATTGTCTCTAGAGTCGCTTAAAATATTCTAAAGTTTGTAAAACAAAATAACTTAGAAAGTTGGTCCGTTTCACTATGGCGAGTTTCGTTTAATTTTTCTCCTTAACTTTCTATAGAAAGAAGTTTGAGCAAATCTCGTAGATAATTTGACGGCACATCTGTCGAGAAAAGAATCAGGTCTAAGAATTGAAAAGAAAAAAGATTATAATCAAAATACGGAGAGAGGCATTTATTCTGGGCCACAGGATATAAATATTAATTATAAATAAAATACGTAAAATAAAAAATCAATGGTAGAAAACATTGCTCAGCGATAACAAAGAAAAGGCTTTATGAACTTCTTTTTCTGTTCATAGATTTTCGTGCGTTTGATAATTAATTTCATTGTCAACATAACATTAGTCGAATAGATATTGGTCGAAATTAGGTTAAATGAAACATTCTTAACATTATTACAATGACACTAGCGAATATAATGGTAGTAGTATTTGTCCATATTGTATTTCCGGTACATGTTGGAACACACGTTATTCCTAATCCACATTGTTGAGGATACCATATTGAACATGATGCTACAGAACATTGAGACGGTTGAGAACATGTAACTGAATATATTGGATATATTAAACCTGAACCATCCGAACTGCAATAGCAAATTGAGCACACTACTGATGACAGTAATAGATTCATCAGAAATGCTAGCTGAAATAATCTGTTTCGATACATTATTTTAAAAAAAATGTCCCTTAACACAATGATACGGTAAGGTGTTTATTACATTATACTGTTAAGCAAATGTGAGACAAATATTTGCAATTTAAGTATACACACTAATCAATGACCGAAGTTTGATCAAAAAATCAAATTAAAATTTACTTTATGCTCGATTCTTTATTAAGAGTACTGACTTTTGTTCTATATAGTCATAAGTGTAGAACAAATTTACATAATCGTTCTACATTATATTGCGGATATATTGTTACCATTCTTGTACGTATAAATACAAACGGTAGATAATGTCTGTCATCGATCTACAATGAGGTTTTACAAAACTTAAACAGAAATAGACCGTTTTCATCTATAAATTACACCATCAACGTA